AGGACAAGCACATAGTTTTTCCGAATCACACTTAATCTTGAGATGGGGTTTATCACAAGATTTGCCAAGAAGATGCTTATTTTTCTCCATCTGTTTGACAAATTCTACCTGATTACATAACCTTTCCAAAGCATGGAGAACAAACTGATAAATTTCCCCAAAATACACATTTTGAACCGTCAATCCTTGATTTTCCATAGTTTTTGTTGCTTCTTTTCCAAGAGTAGGAGGAATAGACTCAAGATAAAATTGCTTTAAGTTCACATCATCAATTCCTCCAATTTTGTGGTAACGCTTATTCATTTCAGAAAAGTGTTTTTCTAAATCATGTCTCTTAAAAGAACAACACTTCAGCTGAAAAAAATCTTCACGGGCTGTAATATGTTCATGCTTTACAGGGCCAACAAATTCAGCTACCAAATAATTCAAGAATTCAACAATGGATTGACTGTTTCTCAATTGTGTTTGACGGTATACTCCAAGACTTAAATACCAATCAAACAATCTTCCCTGAAGTCTTACCAAATCTTTGGAAATTGTGCTTGCTAATTTATTTGCAGGGTTTAGCATTTCGGCATGCATTCATCCTTGTATTTCTCGAAATCTCTCAGTCCATTTTGAAGGAGGGATGTCATCAATTGTAAAACCTTTAGATGAATCTCCATAGGTAGGGTTTTGAGGTCTAGGTTCTTCATCTATAAGTGGGTCTGGGTTAGGTTCAGGGTCAGGAGGTTGTTCAGGGGGATCCATCATGAACAAAGGGTCTGAAGAAACAGAGGAAGAAGAGGCTAGAAAACTCTTTGTATCAGAAGATTCTGAGACAGAGTCAGAGGATTGGGTTTCTGTTTGAAGGTTTAACTCAGGTTGTTTGGTAAGGTTTTTTAAGAATGAACTCATGTCTTGCAAAGGTTCTGACTGGGTAAGGTTTTGTGTGAACACAGAAGATGCAACAATATCAGAATCAGAATCTGATGCTTGCAGGATTTTAGTTTCACTTTTAGAAATGGTTGGGGGTTGTCGCAGGAGTAGGTTGAGGTTGCTGTTGTGTTATACCAGGAGGTGTAGATTCAGGTGCCTTAGAAGTACTTGGGATAGAGACATTCGGCTTTTTCTTGAGTTGAGGAAAAAACATTTCCTGTAGGAAACGTCTTTCATCATCTAAAGAACTTAAAGATTGAAAGCCATAATACCTAGGAGGTATTAAGCCAGTAGGAGGGTATATTGTTCTTGTAGGAGGAAAAGGGTCAGAATATCTCAAAGTTGGGTAACTTGGGATATAAGGAGTACCTGACAAGGGTTGAAGTTGAGGCAGGTTAGGAGAAGACTGGTACGAAGTTTGAGGGTACTGAGATTTCATCCACAGATCTTTTTTCAAGCTTTGCAGCTGTGTTTTCAGAAATGCTTTTTCTCTTCCTTTCTGTGCCAGCAAATATGATTGTAACTGTGTGTCTTTAACAAAATGGAGAATCTGCATTAGCTCCTCATGCAAAGATTGTATCTTTTCTTTCAAATCAGTAATTATGCTAACTAGCCCTTTTAACTGAGAAGACATCAGATTTTGTTTTTCTTCAAGTCGAAGCAAGGCCAAGTTCTGTGACTTTGCATTTTCAGCCGGCCAGTTAAGGCTTGCTTAGGCTGGAGAAATAGTCTTTAATGTGCTTGAAGAATCTCTGGTACTAGGGTTTTTTATTTTCCACACATGCTTTTCATGTTCTTGGATTTTCTCATAATCATGCAAAGGATCAAAATTAGTAGCATAACTAGATCCCTGGGGGTCAAAAGCCATACATTCAGCAACATCAGGTTTATCATCCCATCTCGTCGGAATAATAGGTCTAGAAGGGTAAGGAATACGATTGCCATAAGTAACATAGTAATCCCATTTCCCAGAAGGTTCACCAAGTAAACCAACTGTTTGATCCCCTTTCATATATCTCTGATGGAGTTTTTGATTGGAAGAAAGTTCCTTTTTCTTTTGAGACAATTTCTTTTCTTTCTTCTCATCAAAGCTGTCATCATCTTGAATGCAAGTAGGACAATCACAACAGTCAAACCAATTATGTTCATCCACAGGTTTTGCTCATAGATGGGTTTTCCCGTTTTTTCAAAGGCAATTACTGGGACTTTTTCAAGAAATCCTTGGAATTGGGTAGGGAAAATGTCTCTGGTGTAAATCTCTCTGGTGAAGTTTTTATTGGATGACTGAAAATCTATTAAGAGGGATAAGATGACCTAAAATCCTTGGAATTGGGTAGGGAAAATCTCTCTGGTGAAGTTATCATTGGATGACTGAAAATCAGTTAAGAGGGATAAGATGACCTAAAATCCTTCCACTGGCCAGGACTAGTTGGCTTTGTCATAATCCATCTCAAGCGGTCTTCCACACTTTGAAACCTAATGCAGAGAAAGAAATTCTCCTTCTGCATGCAGTTCACTTCTCAAATGCTTCTCACTGTACTAAAAAGTATGGTCCCCCCATGCCCCATATAAAAGATTGAATTCGCAATCCAATTGACCCTACTCCAAAGGCTCCAATCACTCGTTCATCTGCCTTTTCCAACTTGGTTTACTAAACAGGAAAGGTGCCGACTTTTTTTGTTGAACTTCTCACTGCCTTCTTGTTAGTTAAGTCTCTTAGGAACTGGATATTCCTTTAAAGGATAATCAGTTAAGAGGGATAAGATAACGACTACCCCTGCCTCTCCCTGCATCCCTATGGTTTTCTATTTACGTAGTTCATTATCACAAGTGACAAAAGAAGCAAGATTTTCTATTTGCACTTTTCTCACCCGTTACTGTTGCCATCTTTGTAATCGCCTTTCATCTCTTTAGTGTTCTATTTCTTATCTAATTTCTGGTACCAGCTCATCACTTCCTCCACCTGGCCCTCATAAGCTAGTAAAATTGTCAGTTCATCCTCAAATCTAATTTTTGATTGTGGCTGAATTTGCCGCTGCTGCTGATATCTCATAATCTTCAGCTCAATCGTTTGCCTCCATCGTCTCCACCCATTTTTCTATCGATGAATCCTCTTCCATTGGATCCCTTGGGAATGAGCATCAAGGCCTTACTATACTGACTTGTGGGCTGAGGCATTGGTCATGGAACATTATTTACATACCCAATAAACAACATTAGTGTAACTAGTCTGAAAAATGAGCTTGAGGATTATGAATTGTTTGGTTAGAAGCAGTTCTAGAAGTTAAACCCATCCTCGTTGTTGGCCCAGTTTTCAAACATCGATATTGTAGGAATTCCTCTATATGAGAGGCTAAAGCAAAAAGAGGATGTTCTCATACTAGGAAGGGGATTCTACTTTGTTTATCACATTTGAAAGGCAATGTACAATGAAATATTGGTAATGGTCAGTTGGTACATTTCTGCGTGGATCTATGGTTAGCAGTTCTGTCACCATCAGAGTTGCATGGTGGAACCATTTAGGAGGATGTGGCTGCTGCTGGGAGGAGGGTTTCAGACTTTATAGGAGGTGCACGTCGGTCTTGGGTTTTGCCACATCCCACATCTGATTCTTTAAGAGATATATGGAGGGAGGTTGAAAATTACACCCTTCCTCTTCAACCCAAGAAGGATTCATTGGTCTAGATTCACTCTGCTGATGGCCTTTTCTCTATTAAAGGGGCATGGGGTTTTATTAGAGAACAAGGTTCATCACAACCTATTTTTCGTGCACTCTGATCTTCTAAATGCCATCCAAGGGCGAAATGGTTCTCATGGTTAGCCTTGCATAATCAATTACCCAGTTCTATTTTATTGTAGTAGCGGGGTATGCAGCTGGATTCTTTACGTCCCTTTTGTAATAACTATGATGACAACCTCTTTCAATGTGCTTTTGTGCATGGAGTATGGAGATCATTAGCTTGGAGATGTGGAAAACGGGTTGTCCTTGGTAATTCTGCCCCTGAGTTACCTAGGTGGTGGTTGCTTTTTAGGATTAAATCTCATGGATTCCGTAACTTCTGGTCTTCCATTTTTTTTACTACTATTTGGTTTCTATGGGAGGAGCGCAACAGGAGGGTCTTTAAGTCATGATCCACCAGGAGAGAGCACTTGTGAAACATATTACTTTATATGTTCAGGCACTAGCAGAAATTAAAAAAGTGGTCTTTCCACATATCTGAAAAGGCCATTATTGGTAATCTTCAAATAAATTGTTGTGAACAGAAGCCAGAATACCGTATTCCGGTGGCGTGGGCATTTCTTGAGGCTCATAATTTCAAGCTCAATATTGTTGGTACTTCTTTGAGAAATCCAGGCTTAGCAGGTGGAGGTGGAGTCATCAGTAACAGTGGGGGTGGTTTTGTTGTTGCATGTGCAAAGCATTTTGGATTTGCATCTAATAACTATGCAGAGTTCTTGGCCCTTGAATAAGGTGTTCAATTGGTTCAGAGGAATTGCTTTCCAATACATATAGAAAGGGATTCGGCCCTACTTGTAGATATCATTCAGAATCGATGCCGCGCTCCATGGAGGCTACTGACAATTATTGCTGCACCAGACATTCTAGGCAGTAATGGTCCATTGCGCATATTTTTCGGGAGGCAAATATGATTGCTGATGCTCTCGCTAAGAGAGCATCTGCTGGCCTTGGTGCTACTGTGTGGTGCCATATACCACCAAATTTTCTTTCTCCTCTTTTAATACATGATCTGGCTCAAATGCCCTATTATAGGGTTGTATGTTAATTGTTCTTTTTTTCCATTTATTAATGCAAAAACAGGTAGCAGTTTTTGAAGTCAAAACCACATGCTTGGGCTCAGATTAGCCAAGGTCTTGAGCCCCCGTCATGGGGTTTGACTAGAGCCTACTCAAGCATGTCCTGAGCTGAATTTCTGATCTTTTATACTGATTAGAAGTGAGAAGAATTTCCTTGAATATTTTTCGCTTTTTAATACTGTTAAAATTAGAGTGTTTATTTGTGAAATATTATTGGTGATTTCTGAGGAAAACTGCTCATAACGTGGTGGCTTTTATAACTGCAGATGAATCCAAGAAGAATGATCTGGTGGGTAGACGTCTATGGGTGAAATCAAACATGGAGGCCTATCTCACAGAATTGAGGAAAGAAGTGAAGCGCAGAAGATAGATAGCATTTAGTGGAGTTTTTTTAATCTTGGGGACTACATTCAGTTTCTCTTTTGATACATTTTCTCCTTGTATTGAAGGAGCACCTTGTTCAACTTCCACTTAACGAACCTTGTTCTACTTCCACTTAATGAGATGAAAATTTTGGTTATGATTTATTTATTTATTTGTAATTTCTACTTTAATTATTTGAACGTTGTAGTAGTTCCTCAATTTTTGTCGTGTGTTTTGTGTTACTATACCTTGCATTGATCTTTGCCACTTCAACTACCGCGTGTGACGACCATGTGAGCTTTATATTAATTTTTGCATAAAAAGCGTATATATATGCCCGCAAGCCCACGCCAGAGCTTGAAAGGAACGAATTTGTATATTCTACTTTATTAAGTCGTGCTTAAGAGGTAGGCACGTGTGGTAAGAATATAGGGCGATCTTATTGTTAGAGATAATGTACGGCATGACTGTTTTAGAAAAAAAGAAGTAGGTTAGAATACATTATACATGTGGGGTAAATGGGTTCACTTTTTTTGTTTTGTTTAAGATGGAATAAATTTGTGTTTTCTTTTTATTAATATCTGCATCCCAAATAAGGTTAACATTATAAAAAAAAGAAAAGAAAAGTATTTGCATCCTAAATTTTTTGGAACTTGAGTTTTTTTAAATTTTTAAAGTGGAAATTCATTAAAATGTAGTGCATATTATTATGAGATCATTTATTTTTGGTGTAAGGAAGTCACAATCACATTTAGCCATTGGATGTGAAATCTAATTGATGAAAGTGTCACAACTTTTGAGACATTTTATTATGGATTTTGTGCTTAAATAAGGATACATTCTCAACCAAATCTCAGTGTATAATTTTTTTTTAACATTTTACTTTTTTTATTACTATTTCAAGTCAAAATCATGTGTATTTTGATGAGCATTTAGAAATTAATGCAAAATATATAGGTACAATATTATATAATTAGTTGCATTGGTATATTTGGCAAAATTTTCCTTTCTACAATTATTTCTAGGAAATTTTATCAAATTATCATGAGAGATTTTCCTTTCTACAATTAATTCTAGTAAATTTTATCAAATTACCATGAAAGATGAATAATTTAACATTTGACCTATATCTTTTAATATAATTTCAAAATACCCATAAAATACACTTAGCCATGTCTTGGAATAGTTATAAATAGGCAACATATTAAATACTTCTGGTATTTTGATAATTCTTAATTCTATTATCTACATGGTCTGTCGCTCTCACAGTCTCCTCTCTCTCTCTCATCCCTATACTTGTCTCCTAAAATTTCTTAGTTCTTTCTATGGCAAATCTCATCCTTTTCTAAAGTTTATGCATGCAAGTCCTCCCCCAAAAGGTATCATTTTTAGGTTCCCGTCTTCTAAACTTGGTGGTACGGTGTCTTGCTTATTTTTTTTATTTTACCCCTTAAATTATTAATAACTTCTTAAAATATTACAAATTTCAAACTTTTATAGAAAATCATTTATGTATGGAAAAGTATGCAATGATACTATTTACTTTTTGTATAAGGTAGTCATAATTAATCTTGACATTTGGATATGAAATTGGGTTATTGCATTTATTCCATTAATCAAGCACAAAGTTCAAAAAAAATTTCTTCACTCAAGCCATCAAATTTCACATTGGATGGTTATAAGCAATTGTGATATCCTTGTCAATAAGTAAAGGGTGCGATTTGAAAAGAGCCGAGGCTCTAACAATCAAATTAGAGCCCATCTTTAAATAGTGTTGAGAAATGTGGTTTCAATACTGGAAATCTTTGACTAGCTTTAAAGTATATTTTCATTTTTAATTAGAAAATATAAAGCTTAAAAAGTAGTATAGATAGAGCAAATCTATGAAAATTTGAATAATTTAAAAATTGATGGTAAAAAAATGCATTATTTCCAAAACTAGCAATTTTTTTTTTTTTCAAGTCCATGCATCTGAATGTTGAGATGATCAATTTGAGGATATTTGAGCTTCAAAACAACCTCTTCTAGGGAAATTTTTGAGGTAGGTTCTAATTTGATTGTTTAGAACCTAGGCTCTATATAAACTTTTCTCATAAGTAAATGGTCTCATTGTATACAATCCATTTATGTATTATCGTGAATATTTGGAACATTTTTTTAATAATCTTATTAAGGAAATAAAAAATGTTTTGAGTTAGTATGCCAACTTTTTGTATTTTGAAAATTTAATGTAAGTTGTTGTACTAAAACAATTATTTGATGTCTCATATTTAATTTATTATTATAATGTTTAAAATGTCTTAAAACATTATTGTCATTGCTTCCAAAAAGTGAAACACGCATTTTTTAGTTTTAATTATTTGTAGTTTAAGTACAATATTGTAAAACACTCTATTATTACTTTTTAAAATTAAATTATCATTTTTAAGTATTTTAAAAAATGACATCATTTTTTCCTTTTTCAATATTTTTTCCTTTTAAATACAACCTTTTCAAACTTTATTTGAATAAATTCATGATTAAAAGGTTTTCAAATGTTATAAAAACTTAATATTACATATTGTCCATGTATGCCATATTTTCATTCATGATTACATTACTCTATAATTATACATGCTTATATGTTCCACTATAATATCCGATTTTTAAACTATAATTTTAAGAAATTTTAAGAAAGTTTTTCTATTACTTTTACCCTTTTCACATATTTTTAAGCTATAATTTTTAATTGTTTCAAGAAAGAAAAGTGATTCTAATTCTTTTATATTTTATATTTTTAATATTTTTAATACTTTCAAATTTCATTTATGACTCATTTTTTGTGCTTTTCAGTATATTAAAATAACAATAATGTTGTTTGTAAATGATTTTTCGTGCATTACAAATTCCTTGGGGCTTTTTGAGGAGATGAATCCCAAAAGATACTTTTTGTAAGAATTTGGAGATGGTGAAGTTTTTTATGGAGTTTCGCTCTTACTCTCCACATGGGGTTATTTTTAAGGGGAAAGGATGAATTTGCTCTTTATTACAGGCAAAGTTTTAAGATCTACAAATCGTTTTATATCTTTTTTCCCAGTTTATTCTTGTTGGATATATGGCCTCTCCAGTTTATTCTTGGACATATGGCCTTGCAAGGCATTATATGCAAAGACTAGCACTATTCAGAGTCATAGTGGAAGTGACCAGAAACATGGTGGCTATCGGTATCCTTGTGTACTGGGATCTGGATAAACCAAAATAACCTTATTTGACTGAAGCGAGGTTCTTGAACCATATTGTGAACCAAGAGGTTTTTAGAGTTTTCCCCTAGTCAGGATCGATATGACTAAGTTCGCCTCATGTCATGTGAGCCAGGGCTTGGGATCAGTGGATCCCGGTTTTGTTTGAGATATGTTACGTATAAGCGTATAAGCCTTGTGTAAGCATAGTTGGGCTGTAAGAGGACATAAATTCAAATCTCTGACATATGTAGCTTGCTCACAACGTGTGCACTGACAGTCGCATTTTGGAAAGCCGTTCTGATGAGGTAAGATCCACCAATTAGAACTGTGCATGCGTGTTGAGAAAGGAACCCCCCGCATCCGCAAGAGTGCATGTCCATCCTTGGGGGGCATCTGTTATCTATTGAACACTCTGGAATCTATTCAACTATCAGTTAGATTTGGTAGGTTCATTAAAGTCTGGACTGAAGTCTGTAACTTATAGGGGTTTGTTGGGTTGGTCTGAGAAATTGGATTGGGTTTCTAGGTCTAGCCCAATGGAGTACCATACAGACTGATCTCCTATGGAACCAGTTTTGTGAGAAGTGTCAAACCATGAATTTTTTGATAAGATATGATAAAAGAGGATTTATCATGATTTTAGATGATTTTAGAAATTTTATTTCAAAAGAAAAATGTTATGATAAAATTTTTGTGTACTAATTTCAATTAAGGACACATCCACACATGTGGCGTGTGACACGCAAATGGCCAATGTGTGACACACATGCATCCCATAAGGCAGCTATGTCATTGGCCAATGGGCATGATGTAGAAACCCTAACCGTAGACGTGGGACCGTTGTTTGGATATGCCGCATAACATTGATAAGTGTAATGTGATTTGTGGCACGTGTGTTGTAATATGTGTGTGTTCATATATGAGAGTGTAGAGATTTCATATTTTCATAAATTAATTAAACTCTTAATTTTGTGATTTGATTATACCTTAGATATTTGAAATGTAAGGATTTGATTGATGTGAAGAGGATAATGGGGACACACCATGACAAAATGTGATATAATGTCCCCCTTTTGATAATGACATTACACAAGCTCAAGTGTGAAGCAAGTCTCTCCAACTAATGAAGTAGGGGGAGGCATGCCACCCCCATCAGGGTTTTATAAAGATTTTATTAATTCTAAGGTAGCGATTTGATGATTGAAATATGAATGGTTGAGATAAATTGATTTTGAAAATTAGGGTTGAAGGGTACTTAATATATTATTGGAATTTTATGGAAGTGTTGTGCGGGTATGGTGATAAGGGTGTACTCAATCATCACCATCTATGTGATTAACTAGGCTAGGTATTTAGCCTCTTTCAACCCTTGGATCACTTTATGGGTGGTTGAAATTGAAGAGAACTTGTAATTATCCTCCATTTATTCAATGGTACAACAAAGATATAGATAACATGATACAACAACAACTTGATAAGGATCATTGATTGAGTAAATCAAGGATACGTTTAACAACCAATATTTACAACAAGCCAAGATAAAGATAAATCAAATATATGTTAACCACTTAGGAACCTCTTTCAAATTCAAATGCTCTTTCTCTCAACACCATCCCGCAAGATGAGTGTGCCACTGGGTGAACGATCAGCTTGTCTCTGAGAAGATGAAAGCGAGTAGGAGATAAGCTTTTGGTGAAGATATTAACGATTTGTACAAAGCTGAGAACAAATCGATTACATAATGATCCCTGGGCAACACGTTCTCGAATGAAGTGATAATCAATGTCAATATGCTTAGTGCGAGCATACATGATTAGATTAGATGCTAAATATGTGGCATTGACGTTGTCACAATGAATCACAGGGGGAGAATGTAAAAAGATATGCAAATCGCGAAGAAGAAAGATGATCCATTAAGTATCAGCAGTTGTAGTAGCAAGGGCGTGA